CGAATCCAATATCCCACACCTGGTCCCCGAATCAGCCACGATGCCGACGTTAGCAGTAAGGCAAACAGCAGCCAAGTCCGTGGCACTGCCACCACCCTCTGTCCCCATCCCCTGTCCAGCTGGGAGGCAATGCCCCCACCTGCCGCATCCCAAAACTGGGGGACAAAGGAGGCTCGCTCCAGCACTGGAGCTCAGAGAGCCGCACTGTGCTGCTGTCACACTGCTGCTTTCCCTCCTGGGCTGCTTTGCTTTGTTTCAGCCAAAGTTGAGAGCTATGCCCCGAGGTGCCCATCCAGGTGCTGTGGCTCTGAGCCCTCCTTGGGCAAACCCCAGGGAAGCACTGGCGCAGCAGAGGGACCCGAGCAGCACTGTTTGTGCTTCCCCCACATCAAAGGGGCCCTTGTCTGAATCCTTCTGTCTGTAGCCTGGAGGAGAAGGGGAAAGATTGGTTCCTATTAATAGCCCCGCATCCCACCAGATCCCAGCCTTGCGAGGAGCCATGAAAGACTGCGGCATCTGATGCTCTGAATAAATGAGGTAATTTGGGCAGAAATGTGTGCTCAGCAACCCTGATTCCTGCCTTCTCCAGTCTGGGAAGAGATGGCAGCGATAACCGCTCCGCATCGGTGGCACCAGAGCAGAGCATCTCAGAGCCTTCATTCCCAGAGTGCCCAGTGTGGGTGCTGCAAACCCCAACACCTCCCCACCCCACAGCAAACCCCACCAGCGCTCAGTGCTGATGGCTGCAGGACGCACTGAGCCCAGCACAGGCTTTGCAGGGACGTCCCCATCTGCCAAACAATTCTCCTGCCCTCCCGGCGCCCTTGTAAAGCACACCAGTAGGTTATCTTCATTTCACAGCTGAGGAAGCGTGATTCCAGAGCGGTCACCATGCCCACGGGGTTGGGATTGATGCTGGGAGCACAGATGTAGCACCTCTCATCTCCTGAGTTCTGGCACTGCTGAGAGCATCTTTGCTGCAGGGCTCTTTGGGTTACCCTCCAAACGAGCTGGCATTGCCACGCACCGCATTCAGAGCAAACGAGACCTGGAAATGATTGCAATTAAACGCTAAAAGCAATGTGCTCCTTTCTGCTTGAGTAGAGCAGGGAAGGGCTACATGCCTGTAAACCACAGCAGCAGGACGCAGAGCACCCTGCTTGCCCTACAGCAAGGCCCTGTGCCTCAGCAGATAATGATCTTTGCCTTCGGACTTAATCTTCTGTAAATCTCTCTCTCTTAATTGCTTATCATCCGGAAATCTCGAAGGGAGCCAAGGCGGACGCTCCCCCTCATGTGATGCAGCCATCCTTTCTTTCCTTGCTGTGGTCCTGATGCAAGTGTGCAATCAGTACACCCAGTGTGCCCATGGCACCCAGTGAGCCCACGGTGCCCCGTGCACCCATGGCACCCCGGGCACCCAGTGAGCTTATGGCTCCCAGGAGCCCATGGCACCCATTGCACCCAGTGCACCCACGGCACCCAGTGCACCCACGGCACCCAGTACCCCCAGCAGTTCCAGCACAGCCCACGGCTCCACAGCACCAACATCACCCAGAGCCCAACCTGGCACCAGCGGGGCCACACGGTCTGTCCCCATTTGGAGCAGCTCTTGTGCCTTACAAATGAAGAAAGGACAATCCTGAAAAGGAATGCAGAGAAACAGGGAAAAATGCTGTTCGTTTTTCCCCTGATTTTCTAAGAACTCCCCCAGCAGCTGATCTCTGCAGCACCACCATAATCCGGTGATACATTTTAATCCCATTACGTTGCCATGCGGCGGCTCACAGCCCGCTCGGCCTATGGGGAACAGATGTTCCCTAATTGGCAATTCCACTGCCCAGGAGTTGACATCACTGAAAATAGTTTCTTTGCCTTTTGTGTTGACATTGAAAGCGAGACCCCACCGTGGCTTTTACAGCCCCACATTGCATAATGGCAGCGGCGGCTCCCACTGCAGTTCCCCACCTCCAGCTGCTGTGTGCTGGACTCGAGCAGTGGTGCTGGCACCGGGATGCTGTGGTCTCCATGCAGCCGGGGCAGCCGTGATGCTGTCTGCTTAGTGATGCCTTAGGGTTAAGCTATTGGAGGCGAAGACAGAACGCAGCCCGGGGAGCTGCAGGGCTGCTCCTGGGTTTGGGACAAGCAGCAAGCAGTGCTTTCCCAGCGAGAAGCCCAGGCACAGCCCCAACCCCATGCAGCCTTCTGAATTTGAGCTCAGTGTTCCCACCTCCCTGTGCCAACTGGGACCATTCCAGGCACCTGTGCTCACCATGTAACCATACCCAGCTGTGTGTCCGCACCGCTGTGCGCCTTCAGCCCTTGGTGTTATTCACCATTTGTTTCTGTGCTGTCTTGTAAGGGAGCTTTGAGAAAAACACTGCTGCAGGGCATGGGGCAGGAGCCGCCAAATCCCCACCGCTGCTCTAATCCCCTGATACATGTTAATCCCATTATGTCTCCATGTGCTTGTTTCCATTTCTGGCCTTGGAAGATGTGATGTTTCTTAATTAGCATTTTAGCTGGATGGGAGGGAGGTTCATTTGCCCGAGGAAGTCCAGGAAGCCGTGAAGCTCTCCTGTCTTCCTTTTTCTCCCCATTTGCTGTTGGGAATTAAAGGGCACAAAGGAAGCAAACCGTGTTGGGCACTGCATGGAGCAGCAGCAGGACGCACACATGGCCACCCAAGGGATGGTGGGTGCAGGCTCTGCCATCGCCTCGCTGTTCACCTGGTGAGGAAAAATAAAGCTGAGTTTGACAGCCCGGAGAACAGCTTTAGCTGCAGTCTATTGGCACGGCAGCAGAACCACCCACAGGCAGGGAGAGCTGCACGGCCGCCAGCACAGCAGCAGTGCCACTGAGCAGCAGGTCTTGGGGACACCATCAGGGACAGCCCCAATGGCACGTGGGGCCGGTGTGGGATGGCAGCCACCTTATGCTTCTCAATACAGTTCAATTAAAAATCAAAGTGAACAGCAGTGACACGTCCTGCCTGGCATATCCTGCACAGCCACATACTTGAACACTGCTCTGGAGGAGCTCTGGGCTCCATGGGGGGGTTTCCATGGTGGCAAACCCTGCAGAAGCCAAAGGTGAGTGCTGCCAAGAGGAACTGCCATCACCCTTCAAAGGCAGCACTTATTGCTTATATCAGCTGATGGTGGGATGGGATGGGATGGGATGGGATGGGGTGGGATGGGATGGGGTGGAGTGGGATGGGATGGAGTGGGATGGGATGGGATGGAGTGGGATGGGATGGGATGGGATGGGGTGGAGTGGGATGGGATGGGATGGGGTGGGGTATGATGAGATTGGGTGCGATGGGATGGGATGCGATGGAATGCAATGGGATGGAATGGGATGCAATGAGACGGGATGCAGTGGAATGCGATGGGATGTAGTGAGATACACTGGGATGCACCTTCCCTTGGTAGACGCAGGTGATGGGGCCAGGGTTACTGATGAGCAACGGTGAGTCAGAACAGGAGCAAGTGCAAAATAACAGAAGCACTTGCTCAGCGTGTTGCACTCAGCCAGGAAATCACATCTCCTCCCACGTGGGCCCTGCAGCAGGCGGGGTGCAGCCCACCCTCATGGAGGAAGGCGCCCAGCCAGGGCCAATCCTGCTCCTGCCTGTGCTGTGGTGCTGCATCTCTTCAGGCCACAAAGCCCCAGGGACAACCTTTGGGGGAGACAGGTCCCCGTGTTGCTGGACCCGTCGGCTTCCATTACTCTCCATCCTGTCAGGGCTGGAGAAAAGCAGCTCTCACAGCATGCTGTGGTCCAGCATGTGGCAGTGGGATGTGTGTAACAGTGCTATTTACACCCTGGGGGGCTGAGAGCGGAGGACAGTGGAAAACCCAACCTCAGCCACGTCTGAGTCACCCCTGGCCCCATCTGAGCGCAGTGAAAGGGAAATCCCCCAGCAGGTCAGGTCACAGAGGTGCCTCCTCCAACACACTCACATTTTCCCCTCCTGCTTTTGTTACCTTCCCTTGAGACCCCCTGTGTCTCCTCACCCCATTCTCACAGTGCCATTCCCCCCCCCACCAGATGCTGCAGTTTCCTGCTGACAGCCCCAACCCTGCTGCCGGGACACGGCGGTGGCAGCAGCACATGGGCGGCATCACCACGCTCATCAAACCTCCCATTTCTCCCAACAGAAAAGCTCAGGGCTGGGATCGTTCTGATGTTTTTCCCTTGGCACAGATATCTGCAGGCAGCCGGTTCTGCCGAGGCGACGCAGCGAGGCGCTGCCAAGCACGATGCACAGCGGGGCTGACATTTCCGAGCGGCATTTGGTGGATGATTAATGCTGCACAGTGTGGAGCTGTGCCAGAGCCCATAGAGATGTGGGGCACAGGGGTGCAAAGCCCCACTTGTAGGGCTGACAGCTGCCGGTGCCCCCATTTGGCTGCATTGGTGCCAAACCAGCAGCGGAGCATCCCCATGCACAGGGATGTGGCTGCAGTGCCTGTGCCTCCAACAGACCCCATTGGTGCCCACGTTTGAGTACAAGTGATGCACTCAACCCAGCGGTGCCACCCACCCTTGTGTCCTGCACCTCTTGCTCCCAAGAACCAAGCAGTTCTGCACTGGAGCCAGCACTCAGCAGCTGCATTTGCTCAAGTCAGAGTGCAAATGAATAAAGCGTTATTTAGTGGTGTTAATGCTAAATTAGAGGCTTATTATTAAGCAATGATATTAAGCATCAACAGCGCTTAATAACTGCTTTATTAAGCAGCTGTGCAGGCTGGACACCCACCCATAGCCATGCACAGACCCCATGGTGATGGGAGCATCTCCATGCCCACGGCCCACATGCAGGGAGGTGAGCACTGGGTGCCCACCAAGGAAGGGCCCAGATCAGCGACTTTGCAACTCCAAGCTTTATTCGGTTGCGGTGTGACTCACACGGAGGGAGATGGGAGGTGAGGCCATGGGGGGCAGCGGCAGATGGGGGCAGCGCTCAGCCCCCTGTGCCTGGCAGTGCAAGGGCTTCAGTTGGAGGGGTGGTAAGCGCCGCGCTGGTGCCACTGCATGTCCCGAATGCGCCGCACCGACTGGATCTGGGGGTGCTGGGCGCCAAACTCGGAGCTGTCTTTGTAGTCGCCCTTCTCAAAGAGGTACTGGTAGCCTCGGTAGCCAGGGTACTGATAGCCCACCCACCTGTGGGCAAGCACGGGGCATGACTCAATGGCCACAGCATGGCCCAGTGGCCACAACGCAACCCAATGGCCATAACCCAACCCAACGGCCACAACATGACCCAATGGCCACAACACAACCCAATGGCCATTACACGACCCAGTGGCCACAGGATGGCCACAGCGCAGTGCCACATGGGCGCATTGTCCACTTCCCTTGCCCTGTACTCACGTGCCACTCTGCACCCGCACGGAGGAGACCTTCTCCTGGTAGCCGTGCGCATGGAAGCTGGGCACATCATCGTCAATGATCTCAATTTTCTTGCCGGTGAAGCTGGGGTTCTCATACAGCACAATCTTGTGCTCCTGACTGTCCTGCAGCGGGGAGAGCGGAGGTGGGGATCAGCACTGCCAGCTCCAGGGCTGGGCAGGGGGCAAAGCTGTGGGAAAACTGAGGCAAGGGGTCCCCACGCCGCACCCCCCAGCAGCCGCCCTCCGCTCTCGGGGCACCACTCCCCATCCCAACCACCCCCCGGGGGTCCCTGAGGGCTGCCCCTCCGCCCGTGGGGCTGGGGAGGGCGGGGGAAGGCGGGGGAAGCCATCGGGCTGCAGACCTTGGTCTGGCGGGTGGGTAGTGGCTGTCGGGGTGCTCTCACCACTTTGATGGGTCTCAGGGAGGTGATGCTGTCGCTTCTCCGGCTGTTGGTCCAGGAGTCCCAGCGGGGGTACTCCCCCTTCTCAAACACAAACTGCTCACCCTTGCAGCTTGCCTGCTCGTAGCCCACCCAGCTGGAAGGGAGCAGAGGGTGGGCTTCAAGGGGGGGCTGGGATGAGCCCCCTGCCATGCCCCCTCTTCTCCATGCTACAAAAACCAATGAGCACTGCAGTGCTGGGAGAGCAGCCTCTATCTAAGGCAAACACAGGTACCCCCCTCCCAGGACCCCCCGCCCCCACCAACGTACGGTCCGGAGTGCACGAGGATGGAGCCCACTTTGTCCACACCAGCATCCTTCAGGTTGGGGCAGGCACCACTGAGCTCATGGCAGCGGCCCTGGAAGTTCTCCTGCTCGAAGATCGCAATCTGCAGGAGAACGGGGCCATGAGAGCAGGGCATGGCCCACTCAGACCCCAAAATAAGCACTGACCAAAGCGCCCCCACCCTCACGGCACAGCCTACAGGGCGCATCCCCATGAGCCGCCAGCTCAGCACTGATTTCATGGTTCAGCGGGGTGGCAGGAGAGCGTGCATCACATCTGTGGGGATGGCAGGGGACTGGGAGCTGATCCTGGGTTCCTGGGATGCCTTGGTCACAGAGGGGACCCCAAAGGGCAGAGCAGCCGCATGGCCACCCCAGCACTGGAGCTGCAGTTGGAACGCCCAGAGGGGATTTGGGGTGCCCTGGCCCCACAGACTGACCTTGGAGCTGGCGGGCTGCTGCTTGGAGGCCGGCATCTGGTGTTCGGAAGCCATGCTCAGCTGGGCGTGCTGCTTCTTCAGGGGGAAGCTCAGCATTAGCGGCTGCCAGACTGTGCTGGTGGCCCCAGTTCCATGCCCACATCCACACCCCATACCCAGTGCTGAGCCACGCTGAGCCCCATCCTGACTGTGTCCCCACTGTGCTGCTCGGGGGTCAAAGCCCCGTTCCCCATGGGGTGAGGGTCCCAGCACGGAGCTGGGATGGGCCCTGTGCACCAAACAGCCACAAGTGGGGCGGTTCTGGTCAAAAATTGTATGAGTGACTTAGTGCCCAGCTTCGGGCAGCACTGCCCATGGGTTGCCCGGTCCGTGGCTCCGGGTGAGAGCTGCAAGACAGTGTGGAAACAAACCCAGAAAGGAGAGGACAAAAAGAGAGAATCCTTACCAGTGAGACCAGTACCGCCTGAGCCAGTGGAGGTCTGGGACCGAGGGGTGGAATTTATACCGCCTCGCAGCAGAACGATGCCCAGACTATTTACCAAATAGCTAGAGCATGATTCAAAGCGAGAATGCTGGATTAAACCCCAATGAAAACCTCGGTCAGCTGACCCGCCGGGCCATTGTCTCCCGAAACCCCAAGTCGAAGTTATTTCATTAGCTTTCACATTCGCCTCACCCGCTTTGTTGGGTTTGTTGGCAAGGAGATTTGGAGTTTGCATGCATCAGCCGAACGCATGCCAAGACCCAGAGCGGCCCTTGCGAACAAAGGCCCGGCAGCCCTGCTTCAGGAGTTTTGGAGCCAGGGAATTGATCCCCCGACAAACCGCCGCGAGCACCCGAACCGCTGCCGTCAGCACTTTCCTCGTGCAGTGCCAACCGGAGAGCTCGAGCAGCAAGCACCTGAGTTACCCATCCCCAGCCGGGGGATCCCCCAGCCCTGTGCCAAGTGGGGTGAGCTCTGGGGGTCCTCCTGTAGCCCCAACCCTTTTTGGAGCCTCCAGCAGTGACTCAGCGTGGATTCCATCAGCATATGTGGACAAAGACACTACTGGATCCCCACTGGGCCACATCCTGCAGCTCTGCACCTGCACGGTGCTGGCAGGATCCCACCTGTGACCAAGCCATTTTCTTTGGGGACTCAAGGTTCTGAGACCCCTCGCAGCAGCAGACCCCTCCCCTGTCACCCCATGTGGCACACAGGATTGGCACAGAGGAGAGCAGCACTCCCAGGGTGTTCTGCAGGGTCTGTGCCCCCCACTGCAGCTCCTCCTGCCCCAGCATCATGGGAAGACCCTGGGGCTCTTCTGCCTGGGTATGTCCATCAGCACTCACCCTGATGCACACAGGACAGCAGCACACAGAGTCAGTGCCACAATCTGAGCACAACATAGGGCTCAGGAAGCACCTTCATGGGGCCACATGGAGCTGTGACTGCAGGAAACTGCTTCACTCGAGGGATGGCTTTTGGCCAACAGATCCAGAGAAGGATCCTTCTCCATCCCCAGTGCTAGGGGCAGAGGCACACAGTGTGAATAGTGGCCACGTGCCCAGCTGCCACCACCATCCCCCACAAGGTTCCCCCAGCCCAGGGTGGGGGGCATGTGCCCCAGCACCAAGCAGAGAATCATAAAAGTAGGTAAAGACCTTATCCAATCCAACCCAAACCCACCCCCACCATACCCACTAATATGTCCCCATGTGTCCCAGACAGCCACACACGTGGGGTGTCAGGTAGCTGTGACCTATCCCCCATCCCTGCTGCCAGTCCCAGACATCATTACCACTTCCATGCCCCATGCAGCTGTTCACAGTACCCACCACCTGGGCACAGTGTCAGGATGGGTCCTCCTCTAATTCCAGGGCTCACAGCAGGGTTCAGCAGTTGGCCCCAAGGCTCTGCCCTTCTGCCTGCCCCATCCAGGACAGCCTCACCCCAACACAGTGGGACCAGCAGGACAGGTTGCAGGAGATGCCCTGTGCACCTGGTTGGCACTGGGGCCACATCCACAGCCAAGGTCACGCCATGCCTGGCATCCCTGTCGGCTGCACCAGCACTGAGCTCACAGCATGGCACATGGCACAGGATGCATTTGCAACCAAAGGGGCTGCGAGGAAGTGTTGGGGAGATCAGCCCGGGGAGCAACAGCTCTGGAGGTGGCACAGTGCTGCAGTGTGCGGTGCAGGAACAGCCCCAGGGATGATGGTTGCACAGGAGGCTGAGGGCTGTGCAGGGCACTGGGGTTATACATGGGGCACGGTCCAGCCATGGGTCAGCCCCACTCTGGGTGCTGCACTGCGTGTGAGCTGCCCACATCCCCAGCCGTGCTGGAACCTCGGTCCCACTGTGCTCAGGGGCAGCGCTCCCACGGCCCCGGCAGATGCTTTGAGAAGGGAACAAACCTTTGGCAAGCGCCCCGAGTCGCAGCCCTGGGGCTGTTGGTTTTGGACGGCCGCAGCCTTTATGTAACACTGCACCCGCTCTGTGCGCCCCGGCTGCGCCCGCTTCCCACCCTGAGCACGCAGCGCCACAGCCTCAGCTCAGAGCTTTATTGAGGTTTTTGCACAAAGAACACCAAACTGATGGCACCGGCGGTAGCATCACCACCGCCCATCGCAGGGCCGGCACGACGCTCAGCTGTTCTCGAAGCAGCCACGCTGATGCCACTGCTGGTCCCGCACACGGCGCACCGACTGCATCAGGGGCTGGTTGGCATCCCACTCGTTCCAGTGCCGATACTCGCCCTTCTCAAAGACGTGCTGGCGGCCCCGGTACCCCGGGTACTCATAGCCCACCCACCTGCGCATGGAGGCAGCGCTCAGTGGGGCCGTGGGGACAAAGTGCTGTCCCCAGGACAGGAGAGCTGCCCCGTCCCACTGCTGCCACCCTTACGTTCCGTTCAGGGCCCGGACGCTGGCCACGCGGTCCTGGAAGCCGTGGGCCCACAGGCTGGGCACGTCGTCATCCACGATCTCCATCTTGCGCCCGGTGTAGCCAGCATTCTCAAAGAGGTGGATCTTGTGGTCAGGGCTGTCCTAAGAGGGACATGGGTTAGGGATAACCCCACAACCCCCTCCAGCCCTCTGTGCCCCCCCACTGCCACTACTCACGATCTGGAGGGGGCGGAGGGACATGAGGCTGTCGCTGTTGTGGCTGTTGGACCAGGAGTCCCAGCGCGGGTAGTCACCCTTCTCCAGCACGAACTGCTCCCCAGCATAGGCCTGCCGCTCAAAGCCCAGCCACCTGCAGGGCAGCATGTCACCACCACTCCTCACAGGGGGACATGGCCCAGGGAAGGTGTACCCCAGTCCCACCCCCCAACTTACGGGCCGGACTCCACCTGGATGGAGCCCACCTTCTCCAGAGCTTTCTCGACCACGTTGGGGAGCTCCTCGCTCAACTCACACCTGCGGCCCTGGAAGTTCTCCAGTTCATAGATGGTGATCTGGGGGTGCAGAAACAGCACCAGCTGCCGTGGGTGGGTGCGCATCCTGTGCCAGCACAGAGCTGAGCTGAGCACTCAGTCTCGGAGCCCGCCAGACCCACATGGATGTTAGCATCACATCCCCATGCCAGGGACAGTGCTCCTCTAATGGTAGATCTACGGCAGTGCTGGCTCCCACCAGTCCCACCACATCCCAGGCATGGTCCAGCCCTGGGTAAGAGCTCATATTTCGGTATTTTCACCTCAAATCCCACTGCCTCACACGGGCTGGTGTGCAGCACCAGGCAGATCCCTATCCTGGGGAGGGTCCCAGCTGCAAGCCCCCAGTCTGGGTCACGGAGTGGCAAAGAATAGAGGTGACACCTACAGCCCTCAGACCAAACCCACAAACAGCAGTTCATCACCGCCCGAGCAAAGAGCCGCAGCAGTGCTCCATCTCCTGGAGCTGCACGCATTGCAGCCCAAGAGGAAAAATCACAGGGAGGTGACAAACACACCGGGACATGGCTGCAGCTGCAGGTGGCCACGCATTGCTGGTGCTCTGATGGCACCGGCGCACCCAGGGGTGACATTGCCACCACGTAGCATCCGGTGTTGGTGACACCACGGTGACCAAGCACACGCACAGGCAGCGTGTCACCACCATCCCCGCATACCTTATAATTGCCACCGCGCTCACCAGCGCCCTCCCCAGTCACCATCTGCTCGGGGGGACTCTGCTGCTCGGTCATCGTGCCTGGAAAACCCAAATCGCGGCCGTTAACGCAGCATCGGCTTCAGGTGAGGCACCTGACCCTCCCCACTGCTACAGGGTTAATAGGAGCGGGGATCCAAGCAAGCCCCACGCGTGCCATTACGGTTAATTGCGGTCAATCACACCCCGCAGCACCGCTCCTCGCCCCAGCCCGGCTGCACCGCGCACCTCTCTTGTTGTGTCCTGCGGCGATGCCCAGCTGCAGCCGCGCTATTTATGGGCTGCGTCTGCCCAGGGCAGCACTTTGCTCGGACGCTGATGCAGCAGCCGCGTCCGCTTGATTCCATCCGTGAGATTTCATCTCAATAGGGCGGGCGCGCGGCGCTGCATGGGAGCAGCGTTGGGATTTCTCCCGGCCGCCCCTTAAAAATGTGCCGCAGATTAACGTCGAAATCAGCGTCAGCACGTTCACGGAGCTTCTTGCCAGGACCTCTGGAAAACTCTCCCATCAGCAGCAAAGGGCAGGGCTCAGGCTGAGAGCACAAGCAAACACCGTGCAGAGCATTGCAGCCGTTTGGAGCTGCTCATGGTATGGAGGCAATGGTGAAGGCACGCAGATCCCCAAACCCATATTACAGCCTTGCTCCTGCCCCCAAAGCCACGTCCTCCCTCAAAGTCCAACTTTTCCCCCCTCTTTAATTCATGAGGATGAAGAAAAAGCAACAACTGCTGACTTGCTCCTGATCAAAGAGGCCAAATCAATGAGAAAAACCACTTGCTCCTCCTTCCCAACACTTGGGCTTAGTTGGGGCAGAGTGGGACACACGCCATCGTTCCCTCCCAAGGCACAGACTGGGTCACCCCCAATGGGACCGGGATGGGGTATGGGACGCTGCCCTGGGATCGCACCACAGCCCAACTGACTAATTAGGTTCCTCTAATTAACAAAGAGCTGATGAACGCACCGCTTTAAGGGTACGTTCCCACCTCACCTGAACAGCAAACACAGCATGTGGCAAGAGAAGTGTGAAGAATTCAACAAGCGTTATTTGGAATGAAAATAAACGTGTATATAAAGTGTATTACAGTCTGTTCTATCATTTATCACATAGTAACATATTAATAGACCTTTTATTACAGTGAGAACCTGCAGAGAAGGAAGTAGGTATATTCAATTCTTATACAATACAAAGAAATAGAGCAGAAAAGACACTTTCCCATTCAACAACATTCTAAAGATGCTTTTTAATTAGACATGTAAGCATTAAACATTTCTCAGTAGTAGGTTGAACTACTAAACACAGTAAGTTTCAGTGCATTGTCCAAGCAGATGTGGAAATGCATACACATTCGTTCCCCAAACACGGAGCCAACACTGTGGGCAAAAAATCTCTGCCTTCCTCTGTTAGACCATGGAACAGCCAGTTCTCCAACGAGTGGTAACGCAACACCGTCAGCCTGCCGAGTCCTAGAATTAAGCCTGCCTAAGTATTCTGGTAAGCAGGGGGAATTTACCTGATTTCTAGATCCTTTTTAAAGTGGGACAGAGCTGGTGAACGCTGCCTGAAAAATTCCAACAGATGTGTGCGCAAAGCTGACCTCAGATTTGCCTTTTCTACCACCATCTAATGAGAAGGGAAGAAAACGTGCAATTGGTTTAGAATTGGCTACGGGCAGCTCTTCTGGTTGACTCCACTTGAGCAGACATCCATGGCTCAGGGCTGGAAGGTCAGGTGGCGAGTTGGGAGTTGGAAGAGGCTTAAAATGGAACGGGGGCAAGAGATCTGGTGTGCAATGGGGCACAGCAGCAAGGAAAGGTTTTAATTAGAGAGCCACGCTGATCAAGTACGAGGAGCTGCTACTGAAAGCAGATCTGGGCGAGACGTGCAGACGGGACCTGCATCCTGACGTGCTGCTGTCGTTTCCGATGAGCAGGGCGGGCTCCTCCGGGAGGAGCACTGGCACACGGGTTTGGCAGCGACGGGCTCGGCAGACAGCAGCGTGGGCAGATGCACTGCTGTGGGAGCCCCGCCGGAATCGGAGCCTTCTGAGAAGCCGGATCATAAAGGAGAAAAGGAGAAAAAGTTCAGTGCTGGTGCTGCATCTGCAGGAGCGAAGGACGCCCGCCCGCGGGGCCGGCACAACGGACAGCTCCTTCGGGGCCGCCTTCCTACGGGTTTGCTGAAAAGAGCACTTAATGGGGGAGAGAATCAAGTGTGCCCTAAATGGACATCTTGCCTGATATGCCAGAATCTGTATTCAAAACACGAATGCATTGGAGATACCAGCGATATCCGTAACACCCATGTTAAGCCTGAGGCGATCTGCACGGCTATTGGAACCTCAGCCTTAGCAAAAGAAGGAAAAGTAAATCATCTGAGACCAGAGATCACGTTTAGGCTATCCCACACAATCAGCATAAAAATAAAACTTAAAACTGGTATTTACAGATTAACGAATAAAAACATGAAGTGGGACTATCCAAACTGCTATTAAAGTGACATTCAACAGTTAACTGGAACCCTGATATGAGTAGAACATCCTCCCTCTTGTCTTCCTTTTTTTTTTGTTATAAAAAAACAGTATTTACATTCTTTTTATATATATATATATATATATATATATATATATGTATGTATGTATATATATCTTTTTAAAGAGAACTGGTTGACGTTATTGCTTGATTTTTTTTTTTTTAGGAAAGACATTCCAATGAAGCAATTATCCCACATGCTGACAAAACACTGAATGCACCACTTCAAGAGTGACCCAAAATTAACAATTTGTTCGTCTAAAAAAAAAAAAAAAAATGATATTCATCTGCTGGATCAGCAGAGCACACGGAAGTATAAGCCAATCAAAAATACATTGTACAAAAAAAATCATCAAGTTTCCTTTTTCAGTATGGCAGTAAACATCATTTGTTCTTCCACTCTCACATTCCACAAACTTCGTTCTCAATAGGAGCCGAGTATATTTTTTTTTCAGCGAAAAAAAAAAAAAAAGATAAATTTGATTAAAATTCTGATGTTCATAAACAAACACAAAGCCCAGCCTCACACCCGACACATCTACCATAAGTCGTACATTTCAGGTGCTGAACACACAGGTAGGAACGAAGTCTTTGTTCAACAGTGAGGGGACTTCTCCAGTGCACAGCACTCCTACATCAAACATTACAATCTTTTGAGACTTTCTGAAAGTTAGCGCTATGAACCGCTGGTTCTTCTTCCAGGTAGCTCTAAAGTGACCATCCTCCCATATCCAAGAAGATACAGCTTTGTATTTGACTATGAATATTAAGCAGCTTTCTCCACAAAACAGGAAGGCACCATGCACATAGCAGTTGAGGCAGGAAGCAAACAGCAGCAACATGACGTGAATTTTAAGTTCAGATGAGTTAAGGCTTCTGTTAAACTTCTTTATCTTCTTCTAGCTAGAATCACTATCTGAAAAGGAAAAAAAAAAAGAAAATGAATGACATGGTCAAGAAATACCGCAGAATATAGGTTGGAAAAGACCACTAAGATCATCTGGTCCAACCATAAAAGCAGTGAAAAACTTTTTAGCATCTGCAGTAGCAAAGACCCACAAATGTCTGTTTAATGGTGCAGTTTCATCTTGGTCTTGTCCTATTCAACACACTAAACATCCAAGAGCTGCCCAGAATGCTGCTGAAAATCAGCATGCTCATACTGTGTACAAGTCTCACTTCATAGAATCATAATCACGGAATGATAAAGGTTGGAAAAGACCTCTAAGGTCATCTAGCCCAGTGGCTGCGTTGCTGCTGCTCAATAGAAGCACTAGGGAATGGCAGCACAAATGGGCTGAGTGGTGTCAAACCAAAACTGACTGCAGAGAATGAGTGTAAATGAATCACAAAAACTGCTCTTCCTCAGCACAGATTCACTTTACTATAAATGTGTGTCCAGGAATGCAGTCTGCTTTAATATTTACACGTACATAGCTGCTATACTGACACGTTAAGGAAATATTTTCCATGTCTCTCTTGTCTTTGCATGCTTTCATTTAGCAAAGCCCCACTTTCAGCATCAGAAGATACCTTTATCAAACCTGATTCTCATAATGGCTCTGTCTCTTCTTTGATTTCAGCTCCTTAAGCCACTGAGGAGACTTTTCTTCTGACCTAGGATATAAAAATACACTCTTTAATAATGAACATTCATCAACGAAACAAACCAAAAAAAGAATTATACAATTTTCTCTGGAGCCTCAGGAGCATCTTTTTGACTCTTGTGGAAGTCTCTCACCTTTCCTCCTTCTCTACACTGGAGGGCAGTATTCTGCTACCGGGAGTTCCAAGCTGTGGTTTAGGGGATTTGAACGGCTGAGCAGAACTTGGCTCACCAGGACTCTCAGATTCGTGTCTTTTCCGCAGCTGGGCCTAAAAAGTGAAAATAAAGAACAGGGGTCCTTTTTAAGACAGCAGTAAGACTGTTCAATGCAAATCACATCACACATTTATAAAAACAAATGATCTGACACATTCTGCCTTTACTTGCCTTGAGAACAGAGTGGTCCATTCCTGGAAATATGGGAAGCCTCTGAGCTTGCACAAAAGACAATCTCCCAGAACGCTGTGTCTTTTCTTCCTCATCAGAATCCTCTTGTTGCATAGGTTTCTTCTCTTCTAATCAATTGTTTAAAAGAAAATATACGTGTTCAGCAAGCTTTCCACCTCTAAGTCATTCTAGAACTCTGTTTCTGTTCAAAAATGTATTAAGAATAATAGTAATATACCACTGTAATGAGTTCAGTGCTCCAATGGAGATCAAAGCAACAAATACCCTAAATGCTCAGCAATAGAAAGATTTCTTGCTGGCTGATGAAAGGGAACAAAAGGTACTCCTAAGTTAATAAGTATTGCTTTATGGAGACCTGAGAGTGGCCCTTCAGTATCTAAAGGGGCTGTAAGAAAGAAGGGGATGGACTCTTTAGTAGGATCTGCTGTGACAGGACAAGGGGAAATGGTTTCAGACTCAAAGAGGGGAGATTTGAGAAGGATATAAGGAAGAAGTTTTGACACTGAGGGCAGTGAGGCACTGCACAGGGTGCCCAGAGAGGTGTTGGAGCCCCATCCCTGCAAACAGCCACGCTCAGGGGACGGGGCTGTGAGCACTGCTGGAGCTGCAGGTGTCCCTGTGCACTGCAGGCAGTGGGAGCAGATGGCCTTTGGGGGTCCCTTCTGACTCAAAACAGCTCCACAGCCCCTTAACTCACTATTTTCTTCACCAACAAGCTTGTCTTATGCCAGCTGCCAGAACTAACGGAGATGGAAGCTCTCCTTCACTTCAGTCAGGGAGCTCAAGGCAGCAGAGCTCCCTCCAGGCTCCAAGGAACAGAGGGGAAGGCTCAATTCAGAGGACAGCTCAGAGCTGGCAGGAAGAAGCTGCTGCTAGACTTCAGTGCAACTCCAGGTGCATTCCAACATTCAGAAACTCCTGCCCTTGCAACCAAATTGATTACACCTCGTTATTTCAGATAGCTGAGGGATACCTGTGGAATCTTTAAACATCCACGTACTACCCGATTCTTC